GTCAATTATATAAACGCAATTCAAATTTATCCAATCTAGTAATTACACTATAATTTGATATTAATTGGATAACTTCGTCCAATTCTGTCAATTGGACTGGTGAATATCGTTGACATAATAGTGAATAATAATTCTTATTTATTTAATTGAAGTTGCACTAATTTCATGTCAATTACTAATGGCCATAATCATCATTTATTGACGGTCAAATCATCATTTTTTATCATTGATACAGACAGTTTTGAAATCAAATTAACAAAATTGAAGTACATAAAGAAACCCGACATCTTCAATTGCATTGTGTTTCCATGTTTTGATAAATAAAGTATTTATAAAATCATCTCTCGACAATTTGTTAACAAATAGACCATAAAGAACGTAAAGAAAAAAATGGTTAAAATCATTTGTTGACTTGTTACAAGTAGAATGTAAAGACATTATTCTAAAGGAATTATAAGAAAAATAGAATAAAGATTTGCAAACAAATAAGAAGTAGTCAATCATTTTTTATTTTACCGTTTTAAATATTGGATTATAAAATAAATTCTAAATATTTTAATTTACTAATTATTTGTATATAAAAGACATACTTGTCAATTTATGAAAACAACATAAATAACAAAATAATTGTTTGAACGAATTGTTTGATGGGTCACGCAAATTAAGCTGACTAATGATTGTTTGAGAAAATTTTGAACTTTCCAACTACGGCAAAGAGACTTAAAATATTAGAATTTCAAGAAAGTCCACGTTTGGTAAGAACTAAAATCAAATTTTTAATAAATTTTAACAAAATTTGATGAAATATATGATTGAAAAATTGTGAATCCCATCGAATATATCGTTAACAATAATTGTTGGCTTTGAATTATTAAAATATATTAAAATCTAGATTTTAATCCCTACTAAATATGGCTAGGTCTCATGAATAAATAATAACCATCAAATTACCAACTTAAAGGTTCCTTTATCGACAAAAGAAAAGACCTATTGTATGCCATGTTTTCTCTTGTCCACAATCTGTTTCTATATTGAGTAACGTGTAATTGGGAAAAGACACTTTGTCAGAAGAAAACGTCCAAAAGCAGTGCCAGAAAGGTGGGGGGAAGTAATTAGATGGAAGAGAAAATTGTGTTTTAAACTGTTTAATGATAGAATGACACATGACATTATGTAAATCATTATGTCAAGTATGATGTACATGTAATATTGTCCGACATAACTTACGTTTACCGTTTGAAAAACTCACTTAAATTAAATTTAATGTGAAAATATTATTACTTTCTAGTGTAGCTTGCAGCAATAACGATCCACTACACCAGGGACACAATTTGTAGCAATGCTCACTCAACCTTTCTCCGTCTCGTCCACAATTTGTAGCAATTTTTCCTTACATGTACAAATATTTAAAAAATGTAATTATATGTACCCTTAATTTGCAGGAGATACAGCTCTAGAAAATGAGTATTCAGAAGAGTGGCCTTTACCCATTTGTAGCATATTTGGTGCCAGCTTTATATATTTTGAAATTTCTTATCGTGTTGATTCTAGAAAAAATCATACATCAATTTCAACATTTTTTATTTTCAATAAATTTATCTTTTTAATACATAAAAGTAAGGATAAAATACCACGTCAATTAAATATAAATATAATAACTAACCTATAAAGGTGTGAAATACTAGTAATAAGATCATGTTAACCTCTCGAGATAAAATTCAATAATCAATATGAAATCGAAGCCTAAAATGTTATTTAACATATATATTAAGCTCAAGCCAGCGTTCATATAAAAAAAAAAAATGGTATTTTTAAATGAGCTATCATTGCGAGTACACATTGATGGTAAAATCCTACATCCGTTACATAGAAAAAAAAGGCCCGTGTTCGGTTTTGATAAAAGGTAATTATTTTTTAGTAGATTTTGATAAAAATGATTGAAAAGTTTTGAATTCTATTTAATGTATGATTAAAATTAATTGTTGATTTTGATTTGAATTTTAGTTCATTTTTTTGTGGAATCTAACTAGGGCTAGGGTCCAATTCCTAACCTTTCACGTTATGTGGTTGTGAATACCAATTTTTCACTACAAAATTTATCTTTTGCAACACGTAAAAAATGTTAAATATGTAAACTTTTGGGATTGAATGTTGCAAAATACATTACCTACTTAACACTTCCAACAACGTTTGTTGCATGTAGTCAAATATAACCTTTACAACATGCAGCGAATGTTGCTAAAAAGTGAGATTTTAACAATGCTCAATGAACATTGCACCAAAAAAGAAAAAAAGAAATATATATAATTCTTTCAAGAGTCAACGAACATTGCAAAATGAGACATTAGTAACATGTCCATGGTCATAGTTTTCATCACGCGAGGATAACTTGAATTCCTTTTTCACACATGTAGATAAATTGAAAACACAGACCTCGCTAAGTCCTTGTCAAATAAATTATTGTACCCAAGGACGGAGCTAAAATTGTAGAGCTGTGGGGGCAAAATCTTGAAGTGCAAAATTTCAATTGTAGGAGTAAAATCGATGACTATAAGGAATGTAAAAAGAACTTAGAGAATATGAAATTGAGTGTGGGAGTAGCTAACCCCATTGCCCCCGGCCCATAGTAAGGCCCTGTTTGTCATCATTTAAAAAATTAAATTGTTTGCTACAGTATCATTTATCCACTACACATTCACATAATAAAATATTCAACGCACAAACCAATAAAATTTCGTTACTTTTTAACTACACATTCTCCAAAAAATACTATTTCATAACTCATTATTCCCAAATAAATTCTTTCAAGCATTAAATCTGCCATTGACTTTACGGAACTGTTTATACTTATAAACTCAAAAGTGAATGACAAATAAATTATCATATCGATTTTTTTTTATTTTTTATTTTGGATAAGGTTATCATATCGATTTGTTTAAACATGTAAACTCAAAAATGCGTTCAACAGCGAAAAGAGAAGTAATGACAAGGCCAATAATGCATAATTTCTTTTGGATAACTTCTCAATTGGCACTTTCTGCTGTCATCTGTGTATATATTATAAAGAAACATTCATTCCCTTAAAAAATCTCAAGGACTTTAAACCAACCTTATAAAAGCCTTTATCTATCCCTTTTAATAAGAAATACAACTCAAAAAAATCTGAATAAGTAGCTGATCATAATTCCACTATATGTTCATCTTTGACAGTATAAACATAATACACAGATACATAAAATAATGAATATGGAGCTCATACCAGGTCTTCCATACGATGTTGGACTTGAATGTCTGATCAGGGTTCCATATAACCACTTCTCATCTGTTGCATCTGTCTGCAGGAATTGGAGTCATCAGATTAACGAGCCCGAATTTTGGCGCCACCGAAAATCTGCTGGATTGACCCAAAAAGTCATTATCATGGCACAAGCCAGGACTGACTCGAACCTGAAACTCAGGGTTAACAAGTATTCCGGTGCCCCAGTTTACCGGCTTACGCTTTTTGAACCGAAAACAGGTTACTGGGCCGAGCTGCCAATGATACCCGAGTACTCAGATGGGTTGCCTATGTTCTGTCACGTAGTCGGAGTAGGGGTTAACCTGGTGGTGATTGGTGGGTGGAACTCGGTCACTTGGGAGGTTTTGAATACTGTTTTCATCTATAATTTTGCTTCTGCCACGTGGAGACGAGGTACTGACATGCCAGGTTGCAGAAGATCATTCTTTGCATGTGCGTCTGATTCTGATCGGATGGTTTTTGTGGCAGGTGGACATGACACAAAGAAGCGTGCTATGAAATCCGCCATGGCGTATGACTTGTTGACCAACACGTGGGTCTTATTACCTGACATGGCAAGAGAATGTGATGAATCAAAAGGAGTCATCCATCGTGGCAAATTCCATGTCATCGGTGGGTACCACACCAGTATGCAAGGAAGGTTTGAGTGTAGCGCCGAAGAATTCGATGTTACAACTTGGCAATGGGGTCCAGTTCAAGAGGACTTCCTAAATACTGCCACATGTCCAAGGAATTGTGTGGATGGTGGCAACATGCTGTTGTACATGCCTCGGGAAACCATCATGGCAGCACGACAAGGTTCCACATGGCAAGATGTGGCAGAGCTACCAGCCGATGTCCGGAGTACATCTTATATGACAGCATGGCAAGGAAACCTATTTGTTATTGGATCGGGAGGA